TGTTGGAGAGAGGATTCAGCTTTCTCCTCCCTCCTGCCAGGGGTGCAAGAGAGCCCACACTGATGACTGAGAACTCACCTCAGCCTCAGTCATGGGAGAGAAGAAGAGGAAGCTGCAGCTTCATTGGCAAGGTGGGAAAACAGCATTTGTGATCTTGTGAGTACTAGGGGGTAAGGGGGTGGGGCACAACTGCCTGATAAAGCGGACACTGTGATGGAGAGACCATAATGTATAAAGTACATTATAATGGGGGACACCTGATCGTATGGAGACACTGTGGATGGGAGACACTGTGATGGGGACAACATGATGTGTGGTGAACACTGTGTGATGGGGGACACCCTGAGTGTGTAGTGACATTGATAGGGACACTGTGATGGGAACACCTGATGTGATAGTGGGATACTGTAATGGGAACACTGTTAAAGATGGCGTGGTTGTTTCAAGGGAGCACAATACGTACATAAAAAGACAATTGAACAAAAAATAAGCTGCATGGTTGAAGTTGCCAGAAAGAAGCCTTTACTGCATCAATGACACAAAAAAGTCCAGACAACACCTTTGACACACCTCACCCGTATTTTTTTTTGTGGCGTTGGCGCAGTATCCCAGGAATTTTGTGAGGGAAAATGTTTCTATATAAGACAGTGCTTCCTAGAGTTCTTCTTTAATCTATAAGGGGATCGGAATGCTGAGGAAAGGTGATGGAAGCATTAAGTGGGCGTGTGCTGTTGCAGATGATAATGCTCTTTTATTGACCTTCACAGACTGAAAACAACACACAGTTGGTGTCCTGGAATGATGTGTCTCTGAGCTAGACCACCACCACCACACCAACGCTCTTTTCTATTATTCAAGGACATCAACCATAGAAAGTCAACGAAGAAGTCAAAGAGGTCTGCAAGGCATTGCTGGTATTAAAAGCTTCATTCTTCTCTTTTTCTTTTTTTACTTTACACATAGCAATAGATGGCGTAACAATAAAAACAGTTCAGCAACTCAACACTGCACTACATAAAGAAAAGTGAAAGGAAGAACAGGAAGAACCTAAAGTCAACATAAACCTTTGGCGTTTATAAGAAAAACGCTTTTTTCAACATTTTTGGACTTTTTCATTTATATAGCAAAAAAAAAATAAAATAAATAAAAATCCCAGTGGTGAATAAATACCACCAAAATAAAGTTCTATCTGTCTCAAAAAAATGCAAAAAAATTTATACGGGTCCATGACCGCGCAATTGTCATTCAAAGTGAAAGCTGAAAATTGGCCTGGACAGGAAGGGGGTGAAAGCATCCGGACTGGAAGGGGGGGAAAGCATCCGGACTGGAAGGGGGGGGGAAAGTGTCGGGACTGGAAGGGGGGGAAGTGTCCGGACTGGGAGGGGGGGAAAGTGTCCGGACTGGGAGGGGGGGAAAGTGTCCGGACTGGGAGGGGGGGGGAAAGTGTCGGGACTGGAAGGGGGGGAAGTGTCCGGACTGGGAGGGGGGGAAAGTGTCCGGACTGGGAGGGGGGGAAAGTGTCCGGACTGGAAGGGGAGGAAAGTGTCCGGAGTGGAAGGGGGGGAAAGTGTCCGGAGTGGAAGGGGGGGAAAGTGTCCGGACTGGAAGGGGGTCACAGTGTCCGGACTGGAAGGGGGGGGAAAGCGTCCGGACTGGAAGGGGGTGAAAGTGTCTGGACTGGAAGGGGGGGAAAGTGTGCGGACTGGAAGGGGGGGAAAGTGTCCGGACTGGAAGGGTGGGAAAGTGTCCGGACTGGAAGGGGGTGAAAGTGTCCGGACTGGAAGGGGTAAAAGAGTCCGGACTGGAAGGGGGTGAAAGTGTCCGGACTGGAAGGGGGTGAAAGTGTCCTGGACTGGAAAGGGGGAAAGCGTGACCTGCGTCCGGACTGGAAGGGGGGTGAAAGCGTCCGGACTGGAAGGGGGTGAAAGCGTCCGGGACTGGAAGGGGGTGAAAGCGTCCGGACTGGAAGGGGGGGGTGAAAGCGTCCGGACTGGAAGGGGGTGAAAGTGTCCGGACTGAGAAGGGGGGGGAAGTGTCCGGACTGGAAGGGGGTGAAAGTGTCCGGACTGGAAGGGGGTGAAAATGTCCGGACTGGAAGGGGGTGAAAGTGTCCGGACTGGAAGGGGGTGAAAGTGTCCGGACTGGAAGGGGGTGAAAGTGTCCGGACTTGAAGCAGTTAAAGTGCACTTTGTAAAGAGTTTTGAACAGATAAAACTTTTTTTTACTTTTTTCTGACCTCCAGGAAAGGATTAATTGGTTTTTAATGCATTTACGAATCAATTTTTAATAATGTCCCTGTACAGTATTTATGCCTTTAAAGTGCACTTCATAAAGAGTTTTGAACAGATAAAGCCTTTTTTTTTTACTTTTTTTCTGACCTCCGGAACAGATTAATTGGTTTTCAATGCATTTACAAATTTTTTTCATGTCCCTTTATGCCTGTAAAGTGCACTGTATAAAGAGTTTTGAACAGATAACACTTTTTTTTTTTACTTTTTTCCCATTTCCGAAATGGATTATTTGGTTTTCAATGCATTTACGAATTAATTTTTAATAATGTCCCTGTACAGTATTTATGCCTTTAAAAGTGAACTTTATAAGAGTTTTGAACACATAAGACCTTTTTTTACTTTTTTCTGAACGGATTAATTGGTTTTCAATGCATTCCTATGGGAAACCACGTTTCGGTTTATGAATTTTTTGCAATACGCAATTTTATGCAATGCGAAAAGTCCCGCAGAACGAATTAAATTCGTAAACCGAGGTACGCCTGTATTTGCCTTTAGTAAATCAACCCTATAATACGCATGCATTTTGGAAGGGGGGGTGGGGGGGCGCCGTTTGGCATCGTCATCTTGGGCGCTAGATGACCTTGTCCTGGCGTTGTGGCTGGGTTAGCCCAGCTGCATCAGAGGCCCCCTTTAATGGGTGAACGCTACATCTGTACGAACAACTATCAAATGTATCCCAAAAAAACTATTCTCCAACTGACCTCAGACAGTCTCAGACTTCCACTTTTTCTGAAATGATGCTGCGTAGGATTTTCTTCTCTTTGAAGTCGATGAACACTAGGGGAGCATCAAAGATCGTCATATTCAAGGGAGCTTCTAAAGGAAGTTTGTTTTATTAATTAGCAAATTAAGTGAAAGTTGAACTCTGGGCACAAAAAAAAAGTTTCCTTTATATGTTTTCTCGACAGACGCAAAGGATATAAATCTACTTTGTGCTCAGCCAATGCCTTTGTAAAGCCAGACAAACTTTGTAGGTCCCTTCAGCCAAAATTACTTTGCCTGTTTGTTGCCAATTTTGAGTGTACATTGCCTGCCTGGACATGGGGGGTGCAAGGGATGCTTTTGGCACCTGTTAGATACCAAAATGTTGAGTGCTGTGATCATGTGTCAGGAGCTTGTAGCGCTCCAGTTCCATGGCAGCTGCTGGTCTCATTCCAGCAGCCCCGGTTTTGGCTGAGCTGCTGTCACGTACCTGACTGGAGGCTGGAATGGAGAGAGGGCTCCCCTTACGGCTAAGTGCAGTTCACCCTGAAGGTGGTAACAGAAGGTGCAGTGCCCAAAGAAGCACGGGTTGCCAATGGCATGGATGCTTGGTGATGCCTGGTGAGATGGTACCCGTGGGTTGACCGGATGCAGAAGGAGGTCCTCCAGAGGACACATGGATCCAGGTAGATGGGTAGAGCAGGAAATGAAGTCAGTAGACAGAGATGGGGTCAACACGGAGCATCAGGTAGGAGCAAGGTCAGGATCAAGCCTGGGTCATACACAAAGCAGCAGACCGGAGCAAGGTCAGGATCAGACCTGGGTCATACACAGAGAAGCAGACAGGAGCAAGGACAGGGTCAAGCTTAAAGGGTCAACACGGAGCATCCGTAGGAGCAAGGTCAGGATCAAGCCAGGATCATACACAGAACAGCAGACAGGAACTAGGTCAGGATCAAGCCAAGGTCATACACAGAGCAGCAGACAGGAGCAAGGTCAGGATCAAGCCAGGGTCATACACAGAGCAGCAGACAGGAGCGAGGTCAGGATCAAGCTAGGGTCAACACGTAGCAGCAGACAGGAGCAAGGTCAGGATCCAGCCAGGGTCATACACAGAGCAGCAGACAGGAGCAAGGTCAGGATCAAGCCTGGGTCATACACAGAGCAGCAGACAGGAGCAAGGTCAGGATCAAGCCTGGGTCATACACAGAGCAGCAGACAGGAGCAAGGTCAGAATCAAGCCAGGGTAAACACGTAGCAGCAGACAGGAGCTAGGTCAGGATAAAGCCAGGGTCATACACAGAGCAGCAGACAGGAGCGACGTCAGGATCAAGCCGGGGTAATACACAGAGCTGCAGACAGGAGCGAGGTCAGGATCAAGCCGGGGTAATACACAGAGCTGCACACAGGAGAAAGGTCAGGATCAAGCCGGGGTCATACACAGAGCTGCAGACAGGAGCAAGGTCAGGATCAAGCTGGGGTCATACACAGAGCAGCAGACAGAAGCGAGGTCAGGATCAAGCCGGGGTCATACACAGAGCAGCAGACAGGAGCGAGGTCAGGATCAAGCCAGGATGATGACACAGAGCAGCAGACAGAAGCGAGGTCAGGATCAAGCCGGGGTCATACACAGAGCAGCAGACAGGAGCGAGGTCAGGATCAAGCCAGGATGATACACAGAGCAGCAGACAGGAGCTAGGTCAAGATCAAGCCGGGATCATACACAGAGCAGCAGGCAGGAGCGAGGTCAGGATCAAGCCTGGGTCATACACAGAGCTGCAGACAGAAGCAAGGTCAGGATCAAGCCTGTGTCATACACAGAGCAGCAGACAGGAGCAAGGTCAGGATCAAGCCTGGGTCATACACAGAGCAGCAGACAGGAGCAAGGTCAGGATAAAGCCAAGGTCATACACAGAGCAGCAGACAGGAGCGAGGTCAGGATCAAGCCGGGGTCATACACAGAGCTGCAGACAGGAGCGAGGTCAGGATCAAGCTGGGGTCATACACAGAGCAGCAGACAGAAGCAAGGTCAGGATCAAGCCGGGATCATACACAGAGCAGCAGACAGAAGCGAGGTCAGGATCAATCCGGGGTCATACACAGAGCAGCAGACAGGAGCAAAGTCAGGATCAAGCCGGGGTCATACACAGAGCAGCAGGCAGGAGCGAGTTCAGGATCAAGCCGGGATGATACACAGAGCAGCAGGCAGGAGCGAGGTCAGGATCAAGCCGGGATGATACACAGAGCAGCAGACAGGAGCTAGGTCAAGATCAAGCCGGGATCATACACAGAGCAGCAGGCAGGAGCGAGGTCAGGATCAAGCCTGGGTCATACACAGAGCAGCAGACAGTAGCGAGGTCAGGATCAAGCCTGGGTCATACACAGAGCAGCAGACAGGAGCAAGGTCTGGATCAAGCCGGGATCATTCACATAGCAGCAGACAGGAGCAAGGGCAGGATCAAGACGGGGTAGAGATTGCATGAATTAGCGTGGCCATATTGGGCATTGGCGCATTTGTTTGGGCTTCCACGTCTTTTCCCCTGACTCCTGCACTCTCCCGGTCTGACTGTCCACCGCAAGATGATGAAGACACAGCCTCTGGATGGAGACCAAACCTGTTTTAAGCCTGCCAATCCTTTAGTCTCACGCTTGTGATAGTGCTTCAAGCTTCCTGTTTTCCTGCCCTGATCTTTGCCTTCCCCTGAATCTTGCCTGTTAGTTTGGACTTCCTTGTTATCGACCTCAGATTGGACTTTGGACTACTCTGTGAACTCAGCCTGCCTTTTGACCACAGATTTGAAGATGACTATTCTCTGAATGTTGTCTTCCCTGAACCCAGACTGCCATTAGACCTCTCTGTCTGATAAAAAAGCATGAGCAAATGAATGCTGCACTGTCGATGAGCTCCACAATGTCAGTGACCCCACATGGAGTATATTTTGGGGGAAGCCTTGCTGCCCTCAACGGACCAGGGAAATGCAAAGGAGCTGTGTGCAAAGAAACAAACACCACCACCAACACTGACACAGATTAGCAGGCACTAGAAGAGCAGGCTGTGGGATTGTGATGATGTCATCGCTCACTGACACACTGCACATGTGATGGATGGCCGGCCGGGTCACACTCACACAGACACGAGACATCAGAGTCAGACAATACCTTCCTACAAAAGCGCAACTCCACCTCTGCTGATGAATGGGAAGAGAAGAACTGGAACTCTACAGTGATCAACAGCTGCCAGCCGGCTTGCAGTAAGGGACTGAGTCTGAGAGGAACACTGGAAGAAATGGCAGCTCAGCTGCTGCACTGGCCTCATACACCCGACATCTTCCTCCCTTCTGCCACCCTTCCCCTCAGCTGAAGGATCATTCATGACGTGGCAGTGTCCCACGCAGAGAGAGTGCCAGCCTGTGCTGTGCCCAGGCGCCCCTAGGTGGCAGTGCGCCCTAGGCAGTTGCCTAGTTTGCCTAGTGGAAGCACCGTCCCTAGAGACAAGAGTTGCAGTTTGGGCCTTACTGGTGTTGGGCTGAGGACCTGCAGAAGATTGTTAATGTAATCTGATGGGGCACATTGCTCGGGAGTTGGGGTCTGGAGATTAATTCCTTTGTCTCCATCACTGAAGAGTAGATATGTGCACGTCATATATTTTCATTTAGTTATGCTTCGGATGCATTCTTTAATTGAAGAATTTCATTTCATCAGAATTCGTTACATTGAACAGATTCATTTTTAGAATTTGCTTCGTTTCTTCAGCATTCATTTCGTATATTCATTGGTCCAGGTGCATTCGAAACATTTTGCAGTTTTCCCGAACCGTTGCTATACATTCGATAGTTTTATCAAAACGGACAGATTCGAATCACAAAGGATTCAATATTTTCACAAGCTAGTTCAACCCACCAAGAGAAATGAGCTGGTTGGACAATGTTGACTGGCGTCATGTGCATCCGAATTAACGAATGGAAATTTGGATCCATGCGTTATCCAATCCGAATTAGCAAACAAATTTGAAAATTTAATTCACTTTCCCATAGGCCTGAACTACTAACGCATCATGTGACATCATCCGAATGAAATAAATACATCAGTTCAGTTTGCTATAACTTTTCTCAGATTCATTGACATTCATTGCTATGTGCATTTGGATATTCGTATACATCCGAATCTCCAAAAAT